CACACTTCTTCCTCCCAATGGGGCCCAAGGACTTCTCAGCTTTTTTTTTTACCATTCGCCATGACTTTCCAACGTGGGTTTTTGTGACACGGAAAAGGCAACAGCCACGGGTTCAGGGGAAGTTTTGTGACACAGAGGGACACCCTGGGGTCAGTATTTATAGAATGTATTTATACTGTATCGCAGGAGAGTAGAAAACGTATTCCAAATAAATAAAAACTCATATTTTTACACGCTGGTCCATTCATTTGTGGGATGGGGGTGGGGGGGGGCGGTGGCCGTTTCAGCACACGTTACACAGACTTTGTCCACGGTTGTCACCATCGGGTCAGCCGCTCTGAGAAATGCCACGGTAATGTTACAATGTGTCTGTATTGGGATGGACGTTCGGCTTGTACTCTGTAGCCACGCACCAGCCACCGCAGCCAGTCAGGTCATTGGAGCTGCTACATAGTTGCTGGTCTGCCACGGCTCTCAGACCTTTCAGTGGTTGGTGACACAATATGGCCAATAAAGTGTCCGGAACTATTTATAGGATCCAAATCCATGATAAAAAAATCTGGTGCGTTTCCTGCGTTTGTACGGCACCCCCTTTGGACGCATCGGAGGCTTCGGCAGTAAAGTTCTTTCTTCTCAAGCTGTGGATTCCATTGCCGTGGCCTTTTTTTCTTCCAGAGTTCACCTCGAAATAGAACTAAGAGAGGTTCCAGCACCTTCCATCCGAACCTGACACTTCTCGTGGCTGAAGAGGAACGGGATGGGGGAAAACGCTTTCTGGTGGCCCTTATAACACTAAGCCCAGCCCACGTCAGGCCATCACTATACCACACACAAGGCACCACGATAGATTATCATACAAATGTTATTCTTTGTTTAAGAAACCACAATGTCAAATTATAACCCGAGTGACCGGCAAAACAAATCACCACCAAAAGGTGGCCTCAGATACCGGATGGTGGTTGGCCGTGAATGGACAGGCTCAACCAGGAGATGTTGAGGAGGGTTTGCAGACATTGTGAACGGTCGTCTTGGAGGAACATTGTCTCGTGTCCACAGTCACCCGAACTAAGTGTACAATATTAAAAAAAGTTGACCAAGGGCCGTGGCACCGTGGCCCAGTGCTGTCTACCTCCTCTCCCAAGTCATCACCCGCACCATCCACTTGTCCTAATATCACCCAAGGGTTGTTGGTGTCAGTCCGGCTTTTTATCCATATTACAGAAGCACAGTAGAGTCTTCTTCTTCCACATGTTCTGTGTCCACTAAACTCCCAAAACTAAGTGGGCGGAGCCATGAAAATCATTCCTTCATGGCCCGGGGGCCTACTGTGCATCCAGAACAGCCAATCAATAGCACAGATACAGCCTAATATTGGAGAGCCACGTACTCCAAAGTGCACACGGTTGCTTTAGGTCTATTGGCCATCGTCAGTGCTGTACCTGGAATCCACGGCTTCTATGGGGAAGGGTTTGGGAAGCCATGACACCGTAAAGCCCAGTGGGCCCCAAGCCCCGCTCCATAGAAGCCATTGTTTCAATTCT